TCCTGGAATTTGTCATAAAACGATGCATAGCCAATCAATCGCTTGTATTGTTTTAATGTAACGTTTTGGTAAACAACTTTAGGAACTGCCATTTTTTCCTCTGAAAACCCACTTGGATCTGCTGCTATTCAGGGCAGTTTGAGTCTGTGCTCGGTTGCAATCCTCAAACTTGGCCCAAATACTCTACTTACATGAATTTTGCCTCAGTTTTTTCCTTTAGGTTTACAAATTAGTCCTCCAGTAATTTAAACGAAGTGTTTCAAAAAGGTATGCACTTGTATGTGCATTTATTCATGTGGAAAGTGAGTACGTGGTGGATTTATATATTACTGATCTGTGTGTACGGTTTTCCTATGTCTGCTTGCATAGCACTTTCACTTTTCGGAATGTTTAATATCTGTCTTATTCTTAAATATTTTATTACAGTTTTCATCAGACAGACAGACCAGCCCTTCTGCAAAGATGGTCAACGTACCTAAAACCCGAAGAACCTTCTGTAAGAAGTGTGGCAAGCATCAACCTCACAAAGTGACACAGTATAAGAAGGGCAAGGATTCCTTGTATGCCCAGGGAAAGAGGCGCTATGATCGGAAGCAGAGTGGCTATGGTGGGCAGACAAAGCCAATTTTCCGGAAGAAGGCTAAGACCACAAAGAAGATTGTGCTCCGGCTGGAATGTGTTGAGCCTAACTGCAGATCCAAGAGGATGCTGGCCATTAAGAGATGCAAGCATTTTGAACTGGGAGGAGATAAGAAGAGAAAGGGCCAAGTGATCCAGTTCTAAACTTTGGGATTTTTTCTTTTAATATTGGAAAGAAAATGTTGAAGCCGTAGAAAAATTACCTGTTGGAAAATAAATACAGTGATATTCTTACGCAAACCTTTTGTGGTTTTCACTTATAAATAGAATTCCATGTTTAGTGTAGTTCTAGATTAAGGAAATAACAGTGAATTTTTTGGAATTGAATGAGGTTTATCCTCTTGACAAATTCTATTTAAATTGTTCCCAAGAATTAGAATTTTGTATTTTACATATAAAGTCCCACCTCAAAACTTTACAACCAAGTTTATATATATACAAAATGGAAGGAAAAATGATATTTTCTTTTCTGGTCAATTTCAAATGTTGAGTGAATTCATAATGATGGAGCAGCTTAGAAGAGTCTTTGAATCAGATTTTGCAAGAGAAGAAACAAGATATGCTAAGCTCGTGTTTAGCAGGCTGGGTGGGACAGAGGATTGAAGTTGGGGGATAAGAGCTGACTGCAAATGCTCTAGTAGTGGCCACTAGCCAGGTAATTTGCTTCCTGTTAGACTAGTCACATTTAGTACTCAGCAGCCAGACGTTCCTAGTTGATTGGACAACACAGAAATGTAATACATTTCTACCACAGAAAGTTGACTTGGACAGCACTGTAGACTGGCCTTGAATATAAAGGAATAGTTCAAAATTGACTTCAAAAAGTTCTGACTTTGGTTAAAGTCTGAAGTCCAAGATGGCAAAAACCTTGTTATTTATTTGAATCATAGAACACTAGGAGGTACTCAAAATTTTTGTTTTGTGAGACAAAGTCTCAGTGTCACTCATGCTGGAGTGCAGTGGCATGTTCATGGCTCACTGCAGCCACTCAGGCTCTGTAGGTCCTGCCTTAGCCTTGGAGCAGTTGGGCACCACCATGCCCAGCTAATTTGTCCATCTAACTTTTTTTTTTTTTAAAGATGGAGTCTATGTTGGCCCAGGCTGGTCTCAACTCCTAGGGTCAAGCAGTTCTTCCATCTCAGCCTCCCAAAGTTGGGATGACAGGTGTCATCACTGTGCTTGGCCAGCACTTCTTGACAGTTGGGAAGATTTAGGAGTTATGACTGAAAACAAAAAGGTTGAAATTCACAATGAATAATAATTGAGTCTTGTAATTATGAAAGGCAAGAAAAGTTCAGCATCAAATGAAAAACTGGGAAAAGGTATGGGATGGAAGAGGACAAATTATGCCTTTTGTATATGAATTTAAGTTTGACTAAAATGACTGAATAGTTAGAAGAACGCAAAGGGCTAGGGTCTAAGAGTAACAGATGGTTTGCACATAATCCCAATAACTGCATTTGTGATTGTAAAAAACAGTAAGATATAAAAATCATGTAGACAAGTTTATTTTTAAATACATCACCATCACACCATCACTTTTTCCTCTTTTGGAGACGGTCTTGCTCTTGCCCGGGCTGGAGTGTAGTGGTATGCTCACAACTCACTGTAGCTTTGACCTCCCAGGCTCAAGCTATCCTCTCACCTCAGCCTTCCTTGTAGTGGGGATTACGGGCATGTAGCACCACGCTCACCTGATTTTTGTATTTTTTGTAGATGGAGTTTTGTCATGTTCAGGCTACTCTAGAATTCCTGGGCTCAAGGGATCCACCCACTTCAGTTTCTTCAAGTGCTGGGATTACAGGCTTGAGACACCTTGCCTGGCCTACCATCACATTTAAAGAATGTTTTAATGCAGCTAGTTTTGTAATATTTATAGGCAATCCCTCAGCAACTTACAAGTTTAGAAAATCCTAAAATATTTTACTTTGAGAATTGGTTTTAAAGACCAAAAGTGAATTAACTAGAAGGCAGTAGCCTGGGTTTAAAATCTGATCTGGGTTCATGATACTTACCTCCTAGGGTGATTTGTAAAGATTAAAATAAAATGTGATTTATAAAAACACCTCGAATGGCTGGACATGGTGGCTCATGCCTATAATCCCAGCACTTTGGGAGGCCGAGGCCGGTGATCACTTGAGATCAGGAGTTCGAGACCAACCTGGCCAACATGGTGAAACACCGTCTCTACTAAAAATACAAAAATTAGCCAGGCGTGGTGGCACATGCCTGTAATCTTGGCTACTGGGGAGGCAGAGGCAAGAGAATTGCTTGAACCCAAGAGAGGTTGCAGTGAGCTGAGATTGCGCCATTGCACAACAGCCGGAGCAAAGAAGGGAGACACCATCTCAATAAATAAATAAACAAAACACCTGGAACAAAGATAAACAGCAGTTCTATTAAAACCACATTTTCATTATATAGTGTTTTTCTTGGAAGAATTAAACTGACTCTGGACCAATTATAGTATCTCAGAGAATCAGCAGAGTAGAAACTGTTTTGAAGATCATATATGCAGTTTCAATAAAAATGTTCTAACATTTCAAACTTCATCTATGCCAGGTGCAGTGGCTCATGCCTGGAATCCCAGCACTTTGGGAGGCAGACCTGGGCAGATCACGAAGTCAGGAGTTCAAGACCAGCCTTACCAATATGGTGAAAACCCATCTCTACTAAAAATACAAAAATTACCCAGGTGTGGTGGCGCACGCCTGTAATAGTAGCTACTCAGGAGGCTGAGGCAGGAGAATTGCTTGAACCCAGGTGGTGGAGGTTGCAGTGAGTTGAAATCACTCCACTGCACTCCAGCCTGGGCAACAGAGCGAGACTCTGTCTCAAATAAATAAATAAATACATAAAATCCATCTACTCAGGAGCATCTGAATTTTCAAAAAAGAAAGAATGTCCCAAACAAACATTTTAGGAAGACAAAGGGGATATTTTGTAAGAAATAGTCTTACGGAGACCCTGCTAACAACCCCAAAACAGCAATTACGTTATGTAACACTGGAGAGTGCTTTTCTCTGGTAACTTTTATTCTTTGTCTGTTCACAAAAACCAGTCTGAGGTTACTGCAATGTTCTGTTGGAGAGGCTGACTTGAGGTAGGGCAGTGGAAATGAATAGAATGTAAAAGTTAATACTGGTCTATTTTCCATGATTCTTTCAAGTTGCTTTTTTTTCCCATTTCTTATATGCTAGTTCATGTCATCTTTTTTTGAGACAGGGTCTCCATCTGTCACCCAGGCTGGAGTTCAGTGGCAGGATCTTGGCTCACTGCCATCTCTGTCTCCTAGGCTCAAGTGATCCTCCCATTTCAGTCTCCTGAGTAACTGAGACTACAGGTGTGCGTCACAATGCTCTGTTAAATTTTGCATTTTTCGTAGAGATGGGGTTTTGTCTTGGTGCCCAAGCTGGTCTTGAATTCTCGGCTCAAGCAATCTGCCCGCCTTGACCTCCCCAAGTGCTGGAATTACATGTATGAATCACTGTACTGGGCCCAAATCACCATTTAGCTGGTGTATTACCACTACTTTTAAAATTAAAAACATTAAAAAGTCTATCATTTAATATGACAAAAATGTCATATTAAACATTTTATCATTAATGACATTTTTGTCATATTAGTGACAAAAATAGTTTTTAAAAACCACACTAATACAAAATGTAATCAGCAAAAAAGCAGCAACTTTCTGTTCCCTCTCCCACCCAATCCCTAGGCACGGTGGCTCGTGTCTGTAATCCCAGCACTCTGGGAGGGTGAGATGGGTGCATCACTTGAGGTCAGGAGCTCGAGACCCGCCTGGCCAACATGGTAAAACACTGTCTCTGCTGAAAAATACAAAAAATTAGCCGGGCATTGTGGTGTGTGCCTGCAATCACAGCTACTCAGGAGGCTGAGAAGGAGGTTGCAGTAAGCCCAGATCGCACCATGCACTCCAGCCTGGGTGACAGGGTGAGACTCCCGTCTCAGAAAATCAAAAACAAAAACAGAAATCACCACAAAGATTATGGGAACATTTTTAAAAATTATAAAAGCTCAAGTCTTTCCCTCAACAATTCCTACTTTTTGCTTGGCAAATGTAAATTCCACATGTAGAACAATGTGCCTGAAAAACACAAGTGGTATGCTTAAAAACTTACATATAATTTCATAATAAACAAGTTTTCACTATAATTTATTTTATGCATACAGAAACTCAGATGTGTTTAACTGAAATGTAAGAAGAAAGTTGATAAAATTCTTATGAACAGAGTAATTGGGATCAATATCTATTTAACATTAAAAGATAACTCTACAACACATCTGGGAAACTTTTGAAATAAACATAAGTGTAATAAACTAAAAAAGTTAACCCCACAATAAAATTAAAATTGGTTTTAATAAAAGTTTTGGAGTCAAATGATTATAAACTATATACATTCCTCCTCTCCAGCATGTATATAGAAAGCTTCCCTTACTCCAATTTGATGCTGTAAAATCATACATGCATCCCAAACTCACCTGTAATTGAAATTTCTTTTTGTAGTATCATTCATTACTTTAACATATCAGAGGAATTTACGTAACAGCCTAGAGAACAGAAATAAGACATAATAGGTGCTTCAGTACCACCCATATTATCTACTAAGACCACAGTGTGGGCAACAGAGTGCAGATTCATGGTAGTAGTTCCTTGAATAAAAGAGTTCAGACAGAATCTTCCACAAACACAGGTTTTTGCGATGTCCAAATCTTGGCAGAGATGGAATGGAATGATATGAGAGCCATAGGGAATCCTATTGGAAAGAATGATAAAAATATTTTATAACATGTTACTAGATTCAGGACATGAATTATTAGGACATGAAATTGTAACAATGAAAAATAAGATTACTTTATAAAGTGACTACTATATTTAAAATATACGACATATTGTAAATTTCAGATACCACACCATAAAATATCTTCCAGCATGACCACTTAACAGCATAACCCCCTAATAGAATGAAAAAGTCGCCATTCCCTAAACAGGCTCTCCTAGGGATCAATTGTTCAAAAGATCTGTAAGACAAATTTAAAATACATGTAACTTGGGTCATTAGTTTTACTTTAGTGGCTGGGCAAGTAGGCTAACCTTACCTTGCTTAAGGCATTTCACTCTCACACTTAAAATCCTTCCAATGGTGCCCAAGTCAAACTTTTTATTTTTTGAGACAGAATCTTTCTCTGATGCCCAGGCTGGAGTGCAGAGGCACAATCTTACTGCAACCTCTGCCTCCCGGGTTCAAGCAATTCTTCTGCCTCAGCCTTCCTAGTAGCTGGGATTACAGGCGCCCACCACCACGTCTGACTAATTTTTGTTTGTATTGTAGCTAGTAGAAATGGGGTTTCACCATGTTGGCCAGGCTGGTCTCAAACTCCTGACCCTAAGGTGACCCACCCGCCTCAGCCTCCAGAAGTGCTAGGATTACAGGTGTGAGCCACTGTGCCTAGCCTAAACTTTTTTTTTTTTTTTTTTTTTGAGACGGAGTCTCACTCTGTTGCCTAGGCTGGAGTACATGGTGCAATCTCAGCTCACTGCAACCTCCACCTCCAGGGTTCAAGCAATTCTCCTGCCTCAGCCTCCCGAGCAGCTGGGACTATAGGCACACACCATCATGCCTGGCTAATGTTTGCATTTTTAGTAGAGACAGGGTTAACCATGTTGGCCAGGCTGGTCTTGAACTCCTGACCTTAAGTGATCTGCCCACCTCGAACTCCCAAAGTGCTGAGATTATAGGCATGAGCTACTGCGCTAGGCTTCCAAGTCAAATTTTTAAATAATCTACAAGACACTAAAAGACAGTGGACAGTGTGGACCACTGCCCAAACGTCCCCGCTAAACGTCCCCACTCACTTTGCCTCCCACACAGTATCTTGTTGTTGTTTCTTGTCTCTAGCCTAGGCTGGCACATAGTAGGTGCTCAGATATTTTTCAACAAATAAGCCTAGTCTTATAACTTAAAGTTCAAAACCCTATCAGAAAAGTCTGAGAAGATACACATTTCAAATTAAAAAGCAGTGGTTACCTTTGGAAGGGGATCTAGGATGGCCCTATTTGCAATTTTAAAAATTTTCATAAAAAGACTTTATTAATCTGTTGCTTGCGTAAGTAACCATTTTAAAACACTCTGCCAGGAAGTGTCTTCTACATGTTTACATTTATCTCTTTCAGGATAGATGGTTGTAGTCTGAGGAAACAGATAATAGTTAAAAACTATTTTCTATCTGACATAACTTAAATCCCCACATAGTTTCCTAATAGATCATAACCATATGCTTGTAACCAATAGTTAGGGCCATGTATCAACAGCTAGACAATAAGTATTGCTGTCACGGCTTTGAATCTATACACTTTTTAAAACAAGGGAGTTTAAAACATGCAAAATTATACTTCAGTAAAGGTTTGGTCACTTTACAAGAAAGCTATATTAATAGGGGTCAATTTTCTGCCTAATTATGCCTTGCCAATTATATCATATTTTGATCATCTCTTCTTTTCCTTCCAACTTTGTACTTTTTCATACTGAAATTCAGCATGTTTTTCCCTGAACATTTAGCCAACTTGTTATAGTCTTTTCAAATCAAAACTACTTATAACATTTCTCATTTGGACATACTTTCCAAATTTGAATAAATACAATAAACAATTTCTTTTACGGTTGTCTTAGAGAAACAATAGCCTCAGGTGCACCTCAATGCCAAAAGACACCATTTGGAGTTTCCTCAAATCAGTGGTTTTAACCTGAAACATCAGTATCACCTCTGGTGATTTTTCTCTTTTCCTTTCTTCCCCTTCCCTCCCTCTTTCCTTTCTTCCCTTCTTTCTTCCCCTCTTTCTCTTTTTCTTTCTTTTGAGATGGAGTCTTGCTCTGTTGTACAGGCTGGAGTCAGTGGCGCGATCTCATTGCAATCCCTGCTGCCCAGGTTCAAGCGACTCTCCTACCTCAGAAAAAAACATTAAGGCCTTTTATAGCCAGGTACAGTCATAGGCAATTATAAGTATTGCCATTTAATACCATTCTTAACTGCTAGATAGGGGTAAATGTTTTAAACCAGTCATTCCAAAATGTAGTCCCCTGACCAGCAACATCAGCATCATCTGGGAACTTGTCAGAGATGCAATTTCTTTGTTAGCCGCAGTGGCTCATGCCTGTAATACCAGTACCTTGTGGGGCTGAGGCAGGAGGACTGCTTGAGGCCAGGAGTTTCAAGACAAGCCTGGACAACATAACAAAACCCCCATCTCTACCAAAAAATAAGCCAGAACTTAGTGGCATGTGTAGTCCTTGCTACTTAGGAGGCTGAGGTGGGAGGATGGCTTGAACCCAGGAGTCTGAGGTTGCAGTGAGCTATGTATGTGCCACGGAGCTCCGGTCTGAGTGACAGAGTGAGCCCCTGTCTCAAAAACAAAACAAAACAACACAACCTAAAAAAAAAAATAAAAAAAATAAAAAATCCGAAAAACGAAAACCCAACAACAACCAGAGATGCAATTTCTTTAGCTCTACCCTAAACTTATGGAATCAGAATTACTGAGGGTTAGGGTCCAATAATCTTTTTAAACTAGCACTATTTCAACAACCATGGTTCTGATATACTCTTAAAATTTTGAGAATTACTGCCTTAAAACAGTGAGTACTTAAATTACATTTAGGGCCTTAGTAATTAACAGTACTTTTCGGAGGCACCAACATATGGTCCATGGGCTAGCAACCACATCTGGAAGCTTGTTAGAAATGCAGGATTTCGCCGGGCGCGGTGGCTCAAGCCTGTAATCCCAGCACTGTGGGAGGCCGAGGCGGGTGGATCACGAGGTCAAGAGATCGAGACCATCCTGGTCAACACGGTGAAACCCCGTCTCTACTAAAACTACAAAAAATTAGCTGGGCATGGTGGCACGTGCCTGTAATCCCAGCTACTCAGGAGGCTGAGGCAGGAGAATTGCCTGAACCCAGGAGGCGGAGGTTGCGGTGAGCCGAGATCGCGCCATTGCACTCCAGCCTGGGTAACAAGAGCGAAACTCCGTCCCAAAAAAAAAAAGAAATGCAGGATTTCCACCCCAGACCTCTGAAACAGAATCTGCTAACAAGACTCCCAGCAGATTTGAATGCAAATTAAAGTCTGAGAAGCACAATGTAAAGCAGTGCTTTACAATTTTGTAGCTGGGATTACAGGCATGTACCACTACACCTGGCTAATTTTGTATTTTTAGTATAGACAGGGTTTCACCATGTCTACCAGACTGGTCTCGAACTTCTGACCTCACGTAAGTGCTGGGATTATAAGCATGAGCCACTGCGACCGGCCTGGTTTATTTTTTATAGATAGGGTTTTGCCATGTTGCCCAGGCTGGTCTCAAACTTTTAGGCTCAGATGATCCTCCCACCTCAGCCTCCCAAGTAGCTGAGACTACAGATGTGTGCCACCACGCCCAATTATCAGTGGGTTTTCTTTTAAGTAAAAGAAATCTTTAGAGATATGGTGTTGCTCTGTTGCCTAGGCTAGACTGTTGGAACTCGTGCAACAGAGGTCACAGGGAGCCGAGATCGTGCCACTGCACTCCAACCTCAGTGACAAAGCAAGAACTCCGTCTCAAAAATTTAAAACACAAGGCCAGGTGCAGTGAGACTCACACCTGTAATCCCAGCACTTTGGGAGGCTGAGGCAGGCGGATTACAAGGTCAGGAGTTCAAGACCAGCTTGGCCAACACAGTTAAACTCCATCTCTATTAAAAATACAAAATAAATTAGCAGGGCATGGTGGTGGGCACCTGTAGTCCTAGCTTCTTGGGAGACTGAGGCAGGAGAATTGCTTGAACCCAGAAGGTGGAGGCTGCAGTGAGGTGAGATCACATCACTGCACTCCAGCCTGGATGACACAGTGAGACTCTGTCTCAAAAAAAAAAAAAAAAGGTTAAAAGTCATACAAAGAGGTGAAGCCAGGAATCAAACCCAAGTTTTACTCCAAAGACCACACTTCATCACTATGCCAATTCTCTAATTTTATGGTACATCAGGATCACCTGGAGGACTCATAAACATAGGTAGCTGGACCCCACTCTCAGTTTCTGATTCGGTAGGTCTGGAATGTTAGAACTTACATCTCTAAGAAGTTCCTAGGTGATGCAGATCCTGCTGGTCAGGTGAGCACACTTTGAGAAACAACGCCATTCATTCATTTAACTACTTAGTTTTATTTATTTGAGATGAGTCTTGCTCTGTCACCAGGCTGGTGTGCAGTGGCACGATCTCAGCTCACTGCAACATCCTCCTCCTGGGTTCAAGCGATTCTCCTGCCTCAGTCTCCTGAGTAGCTGGGACTACAGGAGCATGCCATCAAGCTGGTATCGAACTCCTGACTTCACGATCTGCCCGCCTTGGCATCCCAAAGTGCTGGGATTAAAGGCGTGAACACTGTACCCAGCCCATTTAACTACTTATTGAGTGCTTAATATATGCTAGGAGCAGGAGATACATGGTTTATATACTAGGGAAATAGTGGAGAGCAAAACAACATCCATATGCTCATGGATCTTACATTCTAGTGAAGAAAAACTGGCAGCAAACAAACAAAAAAAAGATTTAAAAATATGTAACAGGCCAGGTGCAGTGGCTCATGCCTGTAATCCCAACACTTTGGGAGGCTGAGGCGGGCATATCATGAGGTCAGGAGTTCGACACCAGCCTGGCCAACATGGTGAAATCCCATCTCTACTAAAGATATAAAAAATTAGCTGGGCATGGTGGTGGTCACCTATAATCTCATCTGCTCTGGAGGCTGAGGCAGGAGAACTGCTTGAACCCACGAAGCAGAGGGTGCAGTGAGCCAAGATCACACCATCGCACTCCAGCCTGGGCGATGGGGTGAGACTCCATCTCAGGTTAAAAAAAATTAAAAAATATATATATATATAAATATAAATATATATATATATAAATAGGCAATGAGTCCTATGACCAAAAATAAACAAAATTAAAAAATCAAGCATGTAAGGAGGTAAGAAATAAAATTTAGATAGAATGGACAAGTATGACCTTTCTGGGATGACACTTGGACAGAGAACTGAATGAGGGGAGGGAGTGAGCCATGAGACTTCCTGGAGAAAAATATTTCTAAGCAGAGGTAAGGAATAGCAAGAAGGCCATTACAGCAAAGGGTCAGACTGTGCATAGTATTGTAAGCAATGTTACACTTTCTTACTCTGAGTTTGATGAGAATATTTGAATGCTATCAAAAACACATTACATGACTATTAAAATCTTACCTATTATATAAAATGTTTCGTGCAGAAGATTCCAATAAAGTTAACGGGACTTGCAGCTTTATTACTGGAAGGACTTCAAGTTGTTCAAAAGTATTTCCAAAAAGATCCAAGTATTCAAGGGATAAATTTCTAAATTCACTAGGCAAAAATGGAAGCTTATTTCGAGCTGCTGACAAAAAGCGAAGGTTTATCAGTTGTCCTATCTTGCAAGGAAATCGAATCAATTCATTATCGTCAAGTTTTAAATTCATAAGTTTCTGGAGTTGGCAGAACTGCACAGGGAGTGCCTTGATTTTGTTCTTGCTGAGGTCCAAACTCCGAAGTGACTTCTGGAGTGTAGACTGACACAAGGCTACACTAAATGACTCCAAGTGATTGTCATTCAGGTTAAGTTCTTGAAGGTGTATGAGGTCTCCAATTGTAGCCGGAAGCTTTTTGATATGGTTGTGACTCAAGTCTAATTTCCTAAGGTTTTTTAAGCAAAGCATGCGCATATCAACTCGGACAAGCCCACAGTAAGAAGTCTGAAGATGTTCCAGGGAATATGGAAAGTTCTTGCTTAGAGGATAGTCTTTTTTGGATGTGATAACCATTTTAGTTTTAAAGTTTTCGAATTCTGAAGTCTTCACTGCTGTGAGCGTTGAAACTGATGTATCAACATTGCAGCCTCTATGAGCCAATCTCACAGCTGAAAGGAAACCTTTTAAACTGCTGGAATTGGCCTGAATAAATAAAAGTTGTAGAATTATAAATTCCATTGTAGAAAATGCATACATGCTAGTTCTTCCCACAACAAATTCTACAGTATTACTTATGAATGTGATACAATGATTTATTGAAATTGGCTGTAAAATATGTATTTTTTTTAGTAATTTGACTAAATTAAAAGTTTAAAAGTTTTTGAAGAAAAATTATGTGGAGGAACACATTCTAGATAAAACTGTTCAAAGGGAAATCATACCAACACTTTGGGAGGCTGAGGTGGGAGGATCACCTGAGCCCAGAAAGTAGAGGCTGCAGTAAGCCAGGATCATACCTCTGCCCTCCAGCCTGGGCAACAGAGTGAAACTGTCTCAAAAAAACAGAAAACAACAGCAAAGAGCAAAAATAAAGGGAAATCATAAGAGCATAAAATAAGACAGGAAAGGACTGAATATTCCACTTAAGATTTGAGTTTAGGCAGGGTGCAGTGGCTCATGCTTGTAATCCCAGCACTTTGGGAGGCCGAGACAGGTGATCGCTTGAGGTCAGAAGTTTGAGACCGTCCCAACCAACACGGTGAAGCCCCATTTCTACTAAAAATACAAAAGTTAGCTGGGTGCGGTGGCACACGCCTGTAAATCCCAGCTACTCTGGGGCTTAAGTAGGAGAATTGCTTGAACCTTGGAGGTGGAGGTTGCAGTGAGCCAAGATCACATCACTGTACTCCAGGCTGGGCAACAGAGTGAGACTCCGTCTGAGAAAAAAAAAAAAAAAAGATTTTAGGTTAAGGCCAGGCATAATGACTCACGCCTGTGATCCCAGAACGTTGGGAGGCCGAGGTGGGCAGGTTACTTGAGGTCAGGAGTTTGAGACCAGCCTGCTCAACATGGTGACACCCCTTCTCTACTAATAATACAAAAATTAGCTGGGGGTGGTGGCACATGCCTGTAATCCCAGCCACTCGGGAGGCGGAGGAGGCTGAGGCAGGAGAACTGCTTGAGCCTGGGAGGCAAAGGTTGCAGTGAGTCGAGATCGTGCCACTGCACTCCAGCCTGGGCGACAAGAGTGAAACTCCATGTCAAAAAGGAAAGAAAAGGCTGCGCACGGTGGCTCACGCCTGTAATCCCAACACTTTGTGAGGCTGAGGCAGGCAGATCACTTGAGGTTTAGAGTTAGAGGCTAGCTTGGCCAATGTGGTGAAACTCCGCCATTACTAAAAATATAAAAATTAGCTGCACGTAGTGACGGGCGCCTGTAATCCCAGCTGCTTGGTAGGCTAGGGCAGGAGAATTGCTTGAAATCAGGAGGCAGAGGTTGCAGTGAGCTGAGATTGTATCGCTGTACTGCAGCCTGGGTGACAGAGCGAGTCTACATCCAAAAAAAGAGAAAAAAAAAAAGCTAATACTAATAGGATACTTTACAAGTTTCCTAAAGTTTACAGGTGAAGGACAAGTAAACTTTGAGCAAGTTTGAGAAATCAAGTATGTGATGGTATATTGTTGGAATGTGGGAATTACGTAGAGTAAAAGATTGGAAATGTGGTATGAGGATAGACTGTAAATGAGCTCAGATCCCAAGGTAAAGTGGAGAGAGTATTCAGGCTGTGGGAAGTCAGTGAAGAATTTTAAGTATGAAAGTTACATGACAGGCTGGTCTGACAGTAGTGGGTTACCAGAACTTATTAACATTAGTGTCACTAAAGTTGGTATATAATCCCCCACTGCTAAATTTGACTGGCTTAAAAAAAAAAAAAAAGTTACATGACAAGAGTTAAATACTATTTTGGCAGCACTATACACAATGAACAGGAGTAAGAAAAAGTCTTGAGAAGACCTGGGCCAACTATGTACAATAAAGCATACTGGCTCACAGACTTGGGAATAAACCATGTAACAGCTGAGCTATTAAATGGAAGGCAGGTATGACAGAAAACAGCAGAGGACTGAAATAAAGCCTTCATTTTGAGGATAGAAAAAAAATGTTGCTGGAGGCAGGAGACAAAGAAGTGACTAAGAAAACTGAAGGTAAACCATAGCGCCTTCTCATAGATACCAAGAAAAGAGTTTTATTAAGGGTAATTATCATTGTCAAATTCTACAGAGTTCATAAAGAATGAGAAATAAGGATAACGTGATAGACAAGTGAAAAAGATCAGTGATCACTGAGGCAGTGTTTTCAATAAACCAGTAAAAGTTAAGGCCAAAAAAGATAAAAAGTGAAGGCAATGGATTTAGCCTTGTCTTTCTAGAAATTTGCTTTCTTTTTTTTAAATCAGTGTTACCTCCATTTGTTTTTAGATAGAAAGGAGAAATTTGTGAAAGAATGGGCTACAGGTCAAGAAAAAAATGAAAAATCACAAGAAGGAGAAAGAACGAAATGATTTCATTCAATCCAAACTCCTTAGTTATTACACTTTTTTTTTTTGAGACAGAGTTTCACTCTTGTTTCCCAGGCTGGAGTGCAATGGTGCGATCTTAGCTCACTGCAACCTTTGCCTCCCCAGAGTGTTGGCACCCACCTGTTGGCTGCAGTAAGCCAAGCTCTTTCCACTGCACTCCAACCTGGGTAACAGAGTGAGATCCCATCTCAAAAAATAAAAATTGATTATAGTAAATAAAATACAAATGGTTCTGATTTTTTTCCTCTTTTATTACACCAAACTTAGATTTGCAACCTGCGCTTTAGCTGGCAAAATACAGACCTGTGCCAGCTGCCTTACAGAGTTCCAGTCTAAGAATATCCAAGGGCTCCATTTTCAGCATGGAAGCAAACCCAGTTTTCTTGCCCATCTTGGGAATCTTACTAAGGCAGACTTTGCCCTTTTAGAAGGCACACAAACATATTTGGGAAACTGCCTCTTGTGCCATTGCCTCTTCAAACAAACCTGCAAGAGTCTGTCCTGTTCAGCTATATGGGATATCAGAATGTGCAAAAAGCCTTCTTTAAAGAAAATACATACCAGGCCAGGAGCAGTGGCTCACACCTGTCATCCCAGCACTTTGGAAGGCCAAGATGGTGGATCACCCGAGGTCAGAAGTTCAAAACCAGCCTGGTCAACATGGTGAAACCCTGTCTCTACTAAAGGCACACACACACAAAAAAAATTAGCCAGGCATGGCAGCAGGCACCTATAATCCCAGCTACCCAGGAAGTGGAGGTTGCAGTGAGCTGAGATGGCACCCCTGCACGACAGCCTGGGCAACAAGAGCAAAACTCCATCTCAAAAAAGAAAACAAAAAAAAAAAAATACAGGCCAAACATGATGGCTCATGCCTGTAATCCCAACACTTTGGGAGACTGAGGCAGGAGGATCGCCTGAGGCCAAGAGTCCAAGGCCAGCCTGGGCAACATTGTATCAAGGCTCTGTCTCTACAAAAAGTTATTTTAAAAAATCAGCCAGGAGTGGTGAGGTACACCTGTAGTCGCACATACTCAGGAATCTCACTTGAGCCTAGGAGGTCGAGACTGCAGTGAGCTATGATTGTGCCACTGTACTTCAGCTTGGGTGACAGAGCAAGACTCTGTTTCTAAAAAATAAAGAAAATATAGCCAAACATTAACCATTCATGTTTTTAATACCATACCTTACTTAGACAGATATCCACAGGAGGCTCCTTTAACCGAACAGTGGCTTTCCCCTCATCTACAAATTTGGTGAAGAATTGCTCAATGTTCTCCCTTAGCTGCATAAAACCAGTGGGGAAAAAAAGAAAACTAGTTATGGTTATTCAGTAACATGTATTACAACTGGAGTGTGCCAGTCATTTTGCCAGGCTTTGGTTTGGCTTTCACTCCTTAAGTCTGGGTGTTTTCACAGTTTTAAGTTAAAAAAATTTTTTTTTTTGAGATAGAATCTCACTCACTGTCGCCTAGGCTGGAGTGCAGTAGTGCCATTTTAGCTCACTGCAACCTCCGCTCCCCAGGTTCAAGCAATTCTCCTGCCTCAGCCTCCTGAGTAGCTGGGATTATAGGTGCATGCCACTATGCCCAGCTAATTTTTGCATTTTTCATAGAAACAGGGTTTCATCATGTTGGCCAGGCTGGTCTACAACTCCCACCTGGGCCTCCCAAAGTGTTAGGATTACAGGCATGAGCCACAGCCCCCAGCCAAGTTTTAAAGTTTTTTGCCTTTTTTTTTTAAAAAAGCAGTTAGGAAGTTATACCCCTCATCTAGCTGGTGGTGGATGTTACTGCTCTATCTGTCTAGTAACTCTCCTTCAAGAACATGACCACCGTGTTTTGGGAGAATGCTCCTCTTCTCCCGTTCCAACTATGTAACTGCACGAAGAGTTGCCAATAGTAATTACTTGTCTTCATAACTTCCGTCCATTAGCCTGGGGTGGTCACACCTCCCAGTAGATTATATACAGACTCCATTTGAGCAGGAATCTTGTCTCCTTTGCTATTCTATCCCGAGTGTCAGAACGGTGATTGACACATAATGGGTGCTCAAAAAATTTTTAATGACTATCATCTATATAAATGGCATATTTAAAATTTTTTAAAAAGAAAAAAAATTAATGATTAATAAATCAGATGCTGTAGCATCTGATTTAGATTTCAACAACTATCGACTCGGAAGCCGGGTATTCTACTAGGGACTTGGGACTTAGCAATGAAGAAGACTGACAAGGTAACTATAGTTAAAGAGTTGACAATCAGATGAGAGATAGTTATTAAACAAGTACTTATAAGCATAACAAATATCAAGACAAGGCAAGTGCAGGATGCTATGACTGCGTTTTTTTTTTTTTTTTTTTTTTTAAGGTAGAGAAAATACTGTGGAGGAAGAATTTACTCATCAAAAGTGCAGTTATTTTATTGTTCCCACCGATTGGACAGCTGCTTCATTTGCAGTTTCACTCCGCTGACCAAAATTTCAGAAGCTTTAAACGGGCGGGATTGCCATCCACTACTAAATAGCAACACTGTAAATTCAAGTTGTAAAAGCGGCGAGAATAAAACAGACAAAAGGTGCACTCTCAAAAGGTTTCGGGTCCGTAGGAAGGCGCACGGGACCCTGGTATCGGGATGGTGGTAGGACTCAGGGCCGGGAGCTCAGGATCTCCAAGTCGGGCTCTCGCCTAGGGGGCAGCCGGGCGCACGAGGCCCGAGGGCAGCCCGCGTCTCGGCTCCGGAGAAGAAAGCGAGGCTGACTGCCCAGCAAGCCCTGCCCACTTCACGCACCTCATAGCGGGTCCCCCGCTTGTCCTTAAGGGTAGAGATGAGCAGGAAGGCTCGGGCCCGCGGCTGACTCCTGGAAGTCTGCTGACAGAGGCTCAACACTGCTCGGACGCCCTTCCCCCGGTTCCTCAGCCCCAAGGCCGGCAAGTGCCGGCTGATCACCTCCACCTCGCAGTGTAGCTTCATCTCGCCCAGCGACCGCAACCAGGCCACCTGGCTTTGAAACTTCCTCCTTCCCGCCACCCGGAGCCGCCGCCGGGGTCCTCGATCACGCGGGCTGCCCGCGGGTCCGCCTGTCTGCGGGACTTGTCCGCGACTCGGGCAGTCTTAGTACTATGGCTCTACGAGCCCAGTGCTAAGACTGCATCCCTTTTTCCTTAACAGGGCGGGGTTCTCGCCGTCACTGCGTAACCGAACCGACCATGTGAGATCTGGGCTCGCGCCTCCGGAAACCGGCAATCGGCGAGGACGCAACGTCTTTTCCCCAGTTCGCGCCGCTGGCGGCGGTGGTTGTTATTGTTTGGGCGGTTCTGAGGGTTTCAGCCGTTGACACTTTACGGGTTACCGGCGCACGTCGGGCTGCTGAGTTTCCCAAGGGAAGGCCGGTGTGCCTCTGCGTTACAGGGAAAGGCGCTTAGAACTTTCTGAGTGGTCCCAGAAACCAGTGAGGGCGCATTTTTCGGCGCGGACGGGTTGCTGGTGGTTTGGGTGGCTGCTCTCCCGAGGCACACATGGCACGTCGGAGGGGGGCTTTATATGGCTGTATTTGACTTGACAATTCCTGCTAACCAAATAATTTTTCATGGCGGATAGGGTGGATGGACTGACTGAATTAAGTGCACCTGAGGCGTGGAAAGACCGTCGCGACGGCACGAGGTCTCCGTCCTCTTGTTTATCTTGATTGAACCAAGGCTGGGCCCGGCTGAGGGGTGGGAAGTGCCTAGGTAGCGCAAGTTAAGGAACAGTTCACTGTCGGGGTCGTAGTCTTGCCTCTTTAAAATTTGTGCTCTGGTCCTAGCCGTGTGTTAAAACATTTTATTTTGTCTGAGTTACACTTCCGTAATGGTAAAATGACGTTCAGAAATGCGGATTTTTCAATACAACTGTGACAAACTGTGATTTATTCTCAAATGAGCGTCATTGTTTACATGTCAAACCTGAAGTGTTGGCGGTTAATTCCTCATTCTTTAAAACGTAATAGTTCCTGGAAAATAGTGGTTAAGATAGAATTATGGCCGGGCGCTGTGGTTCATGCCCGTAATCCCAGCACTTTGGGAGACTGAGGCAGGCAGATCGCTTGAGCCCAGGAGTTCAAGACTAGCCTCCGCAACGTGCCAAAACCTCGTCTCTACGAAAAATACAAAAAAATTAGCCGGGCGTGGTGGAGCGTGTCTGTAGTCCCAGCTACTTGGGAGGCTGAGGTGGGAGGATCACTTGAGCCAGGGGAGGTCAAGAGATTGCGGTGAGCGGTAATTGCGCACTGGCACTCCAGCCTGAGTGACACAGTGAGACACCATCTCAAAAAAAAAAAAAAAAGATAAAATCACTTCTCCACTTAGTATTCCTGCATGTACATCTAGTAGAGCATTAAAAAGCTATTCAGCATTTGGCAAGACTTAATCTTATGGCGAAAGAGAAAACAGACATTACAATTTTCAGACTATTAGACTTTATAGGAGTTACCTACTTTTGTTCTTTGAGTGGGTAATAGTGTAGAAAAAATAAAACACCAGCCTAAATTATTACAAGTTCATTAAATGGACTCTTAACTGCTAGGTACATTTGGGAGCTAGGAAAATGTTAAAATCCTGTAAAAACTGTTATAATTTTCATTAAAGTAGAAATGTCCAGCCCAGTGCGGTGGCTCATGCCTGTAAGCCCAACAATTTGGGAGGCCCGAGGCAGGAGGATCCCTTAGCCCAGGAATTCGAGATTAGCCTGGGCAATATAGTGAGACCTCGTCTCCACAAAAATTAGCTGGGTGGGGGGTGTAGGGGTGGGGGGGTGCCGGGGGGGGGGGGGGGGGGGTGGTCCCGCCTATAGGCTGACGGTGGATAGCTTGAGCCTGGGAGGCAGAGATTGCAGTAAGCTGGTATTGGGCCACTGTCCTCCAACCCAGCTGACAGAGCGAGGCCTAGTCTCAAAAAAAAAAAAAAAAAAAAACCAACCAAAAAGCCTCATTTTCAATCCTTTATTCCTTTGTTTGGTGTTACTTAGGCTTAGGTTGTTGAACTGTGGATACACTAATAAATAGATGAAAGTTACATGACAGTTCAGTAGTGATTTTACAGTGAAACAGTGGTATATACTGCCAAAAACGTTATCTTCCTAATTGTCAGTCTCAAAAAAGAGATAGTTTCCAAAGTATTTTTAAACATATATCAGTTTTTGATATCTCATTTCCTTTTCCAGATCCTCCCCTTTGTCTACTCAGTTTTAATGGTTTAAGTACTTGGATCTCACACTCTAGAATACACCTAAAGTTTTTGGTCTTAGCAGATTGTTTGTGAAGCTAACAGCACTTTGAACTTTACCACCATACAAATAAAATCTGCTCTTTGATCTCTACCCTTAATTACATCGAGTTAGTTTTCCTTGTAGACAGACTGAAAATGGAAATAACGAGTTTAAAATAATTGGGCTACAGGTTTTTGACATGAGAAATAAATGACATCTAGATTTGTTTTTCTTCTGTAAAATTAGTTCCTCTTCTACCTGGCCTACAAACTACATTCTTTTCTTTCTCTCTGTTTTGTTTATACTAATTAATCTTATCAAATCCCAGTTCAGTTTTCACTAAACCTTCTTTAGCATCTTGACCTTCCTTTTTGCAAGCTCCAATTGCACTTTTCATTTATTTCCCTGGCTTTCTGGCACATTTTAGGCGTTCAACAGATAATGGATTTCTTTAACTTTTCACTTCATTTGTACTCAAAGTGAACATTGCCCACTTTGTAGCACCCTAGATTTGAGCTAGTAAATTCACACTCACATCAGATTTTTTAAAAATTTTAGTTTAGTTTTGGAGACAGGGTTTCACCCAGGCTGGAGTGCAGTGGCAACATTCATAGCTCACTGCAACCTCAAACTCCTGGGCTGAACCCAGCCTCCTGTCCCAGCCTCCCGAGTAGCTGGAACTACAGGTGCATGCCACCATGGCCAGATGTGTCTTGTTGTGTTATTTTGTTTTTTGCTTTTTGCTAGAGATGAGATGTCTTGCTGTGTTACGTAGTCTGGATCCAATGGGCTAGCACAGGCAAGTACACGTTGTCCGTAGATTGTGACCTCCTTCTTTAAGAATCTCATGTGGGTGGGACATGGTGGCTCCTGGCCTGAAGCTGTCCTCCTGTCTCAGTCTCCCAAAATTCTCCATGAACACATTGGATCCAGATGTTGGATTTAGTTTTTTTTAATGGTAAACATCATCTAAGACTCACTAAAACTAAATAGTTAACAAATATGCACCTATGCATCAGACTTCTTTCAATCTCATAAAAAAAAAGTGCAGAAAAAAATCTCCAAATATGTTGCATTTATTCAGAAATGGGAAGAGAATATTAGAATTCAGGATGCATGAAATGGCAAGTCACAAGTACATCCAGTGAGGGAAGGGTAAAGGAAGCTTTTATTGGCAAAAAGGGCAAGTTCGCATAAAGCTGCTTGGAAACAGAAGCAAGAGTTCTCTTCAATAAACTAAGTTCATTGGTTCCAAAGGCTCAGAGTCAGAGTTGTCATCAGTGTGTTGGTGGAGATGCTGTTACTGGGCAAGTGTTCTTTTAAGAGCATCTTAACTGAATTACTGCAGTCCTAAAGAATGATAAGCCTTGTCATAGAAATATATGTGTATGTCTGAAACTTGGCAGCTGTGCAAAGGAGGAGATGTATGAAGGATGTGAAGGGATTTCTTGTGTTTTAAGAAAGTCTTCAGAAACAGTTTTATCTCAGACATACAAATATGAGCCCCTTTCTTCATGCCTTTCTGGCCCTGTTTTGTTTGGGTCTGACAAAAGCAATTTCATCCTGGTATCTGCAACTTGCACTCCTCTAAGTGCTGCCTTTCTTCAGTGACACTCTTTTATTATGTCTTATAGATTGTGTTTCCGTGATTATTTACTGATGAATGACGACGTTTCCTTTCTTAGTACTGCCGTATCAATTGAGACCTGCATTACTTTGCTCCTGAGGTATTGCTAAATTTACTAGGTCTTCTTGCTTCAATACGTTTATTCATTCATTTAACAGGTCTTTTGTTTTTTGTTTTTTTTTTTGAGACAGGTTCACACTCTGTCCCCCAGGCTCTGAAATTTCTGGAAAACCTCTGCAAAATTTTAATCGAGATAAAATTCAGATCTGATCAGGAAAGGTTCTTGTGGTCAGTAAAAAGATGACTTTGGAGGTAGAGCAAGCCTGAAAGCAGGTATATCAGTTAGGAGGCTGTTGTAATAATCCACCATCCACACTGCAGTTGAATTAAATTTGTAGAGGGATATCCTGTCATAGAATCTTCAAGTTTTAAAGCTGAAATGTCGTTTACAGATATTTTACTTCAATTCTCACATTTTACACAAAAGGGAATGGAATTAAGAGTAAAAGTACCGCCGGGCGCGGTGGCTCACGCCTGTAATCCCAGCACTTTGGGAGGCCGAGGCGGGTGGATCACGACGTCAAGAGATCGAGACCATCCTGGTCAACATGGTGAAACCCCGTCTCTACTAAAAATACAAAAAATTAGCTGGGCATGGTGGTGTGTGCCTGTAATCCCAGCGACTCAGGAGGCTGGGGCAGGAGAATTGCCTGAACCCGGGAGGCGGAGGTTGCGGTGAGCCGAGATCGCGCCATTGCACTCCAGCCTGGGTAACAAGAGTGAAACTCCGTCTCAAAAAAAAAAGAGTAAAAGTACCCTATTTGACCAGGACTTCATAGATAGTCAATGTTAGAATAAACAGGACTAGCACTCAAGTCTCAGATGCTGTATGTAATTTCTCCCAGAATCGTTTATGGATTTCCACTCTTTTTCACAATTTAATTAAATACAGTTGGCCAAAGTCTTGTCTCTTGCTCCCTTTGGAATCCATGTTATATTTAATATTACCTAGCAGAACAACTCACCCCAGGACAACCTCTGGTTTTTCAGTTACTACTTAGAACCTGCCCCCAGTATATCTCTTTCTTGTGAGCTCACCTCTGCATTTCAAAATGTCTTTTTTTTTTTTTTTTGAGATGGAATTTTGCCCTGTCACCCAGACTGGAGTGCAATGGTGCGATCTTGGCTCACTGCAACCTCCACCTCCCTGGTTCAAGCGATTCTCCTTCCTCAGCCTCCTGAGTAGCTGGGATTACTGGCATCTGCCATTACGCCCAGCTAATTTTTGTATTTTTAGTAGAGACGGGGTTTCACCATGTTAGGCTGATCTTGGACTTCTGACCTCAGGCGATCCACTCTCCTTGGCCTCCCAAAGTGCTGGGAACAGGCATGAGCCACAATGCCTGGCCAAAATGTCATATTTTATCCAGCACATTTGGGTGTTCAACACAAGAGGAATTTTATCCTGTTCAAAATATTGCTATATGATTACTATTTAATGCCTATCTTCACCTCTAAATGATATACTTCCTGGTTGCTGAGTCACTACTGTTATATGCAAAGCAGAGCATAGTGTTTATATGCAGTAGGTACTCAATATATATTTATAGAAAGAGTAAACAAGTATTGCTTTCCATTTATTCATTTAGCAAATATTTGTGAAAGCATGCATTGTGCTAGAATAGAGCAGCCTTACATGCAATTAATATTGCTTGTGTTGGGATGAGTAGCCATTTGGGAGGGGAAAAAAGCTGAATTTCTCCCTCATTCCTGGAGAACAGTGACATAAATTTTAGGTGATTTCAAGATTTGAAATAAAAACCTTAAAAATATCACAGGAGAAACACACGTAACCTTTGAAGAATTTTGATGTGAAGCCTAAAGGCAGTAGTGCAACAAGTC